AACCTTCTAGACTTAGCAAGGATCAGCCATCAAGTGACAGCATGGGGGCTTTTTCAGACAGGTCAAGAAAGATGTCAGCTCACCTGTGTGGGAACTTCAGGACAAAGTCAGTCAGCTGCATGCACTTGAAGGGCATGGCCTGCCTCCTGACACCACTGCAGGGGCCATCCACCAGTGCCTGAAAAACGGAAACAAATATGGGGGGGGTTGCAGCAGATTTCTCACTGCATTTGATTTAGACAGCTGCTTCCTAATAAAATATGAACAGTATCTTGACAACACTCATCCCAAACTGAAATACATATTAAGCAGACAGAAATGGAGATAGTTAAATCTTGCCTGTACAACCCAGGCTTTACAGAAAAAGAAAATTTGAAGGCCTGCCTTTGACAAAAAAACAAACTGAATTAAAAAAAAAAAAGGTAGACAAAACTAAGATGTGCACAGGAAGAGTCCCCAGCCCCAAACAGTCACTTTACACATACATTAATGCCATTTAATTAATAAGTTTAGATTCCAACTGACATCCCTTGTCCACTTCTACACCAAGGAAACACAGCAGAGAGGGGGATGTTTCACTTGCTGGCGGGCAAAAGCGTGCTCCTAAAGGTATCAAATACAACAGTTGTTAAATCCTACCCTTCTATCAATTGCTTATTTGAAAACAGAATTTCTATTGAAGTCAATACACACAGCCTTAGCATACAAGCCTCTGTTAAGGCAGAAAGGAGGAAATACAGAGGCAGCACTCACAACTTACCCTATTTTGGTCAATAACATCCACGATGGCCACCAGCTTGCCAGCATGGGGCCCGAAGGAGATGAAGGCAACTCTGCCGATCTCCACGAAGCGCTTGAACACCTGGGGGGGAAGGAATGGACAGTTAGGTGAGAACACACCCAAGGCCATCTTCAATTCAAGGTTCTGAGAGCCTTTAAAAGAACTCCCCAAAAAAATCACAGAATGGTTTGGGTTGGACAGAGACCTTAAAGATCACCTAGTCCCAACCCCCTGCCGCAGGCAGGGACATTTTCCACTTCACCAGCTTCCTCAGAGCTCCATCCAGGTTTTTAAAAATTCTAGGGATGGGGCATCCACAATTTCTCTGCACAACCTGTTCCAGTGCTTCAACAACCCCACAGTAAAGAATAATTTCCTACTATCTAATCTAAACCTAATATCTTTCGGTTTGAAGCCATCCCCGCATGCTCCTGTACACACTCCTACCCCATCGTTCCTCTAAGTTCCCTTCAGCTCCTGCAAAGCTTTCGGACCGCACGAAACCCCCACGCTTGAGCACAGCGGCCGCGCTCCCGCGGCGCTCCGAGCCCGGCCTTGCCCGAGCCCGCACAACACGCGGAGCGCGGCCCCGGCCCAGAGCGGCCGAAGCGGGCGTGGGCTTCCCGCCGCCGCCACCGCGGGTGCCGGCGCAGGGAGGCGCGGGCGGGAGCGCTGAGGCGGTAGAGGGAAGGGGCTGGAGGCGGCGGGAGCGCAGCGGGAGCACGGCGGGGCCGGCGGAGCGGGGCATGGCCGCACGTACCATGATGGCGGCAGCAGCAGAGAGGGCGGGGCGGCCCCAACGCGCCCGGAAGCCGCCGAGGCGGCGCCGCTGCGCGTGCGCGGGGCGGGGCGGGGCGTGAGCGGAGACGCGCGCTCCGTGTGGCCGTGGCTCCTCCGCGCGCATGCGTTGTGGCGTCAGGGCGCCCGTGGGTTCCCATTCCTGTCCTCGGTCTCCTGTCCCTCTGTCCGTCTGTCGGATTGCACGGCGGCAGGAGGTGCTTTCCAGGAGAATCAGTTCTTCTCTCACCGCCTGCACGTCCCGCCCTCCTCCATAGGCACTAAATTAAGCTGTGCCTCCCTGGGCGCTCCGCCGCCCAGCCTGAGCGCAGCCTGCGCTGCCAAGTGTGGGACACACCGAGACTGAAGTCAGAACGCTCTTGTTGTGAGGGCTTGTACACTTCGTGCCGCTTTCGGCTGGTAGAATTACCTTTCTTCACAGTAACCTGTGTGGAGCTGTGTTTTGGAGTTGTGCTGAACACAGGGTTGATAATATGGAGATGTGTTTGTTGTTGCTGAGCAGGGTTTGTACAGAGCCAAGGCCTGTTCTGCTTTCCATACTGCCACACTGGCTGGGAATTTGGGAGTGCAGTTTGAGAGGTTGGGAGGAGACACAGCTGGGACAGGTGACCCAGAGTGACCAAAGGGATATTGCGGACCTTAGGACATCATGCTCAGTTTATAACGTAGGGGAAGAAGGAGGAAGCAGGGGGACATTTGGAGTGATGGCGTTTGTGTCCCCATATCACCACCATGTATGATGGAGCCCTGCTCTCCTGGAGGTGGCTGAACAGCAGCTGCCCATGAGGAACAATGAATTAATTATTTGTTTTTATTTATTTGGGTGTCTGGTTTTTGCTTTCCCTGTTAAACTGGTCTTTATCTCAACGCATGAGTTTTCCAGCTCTTACCCTTCCATTCTCACCCTGATCCTGCTGGTGGGGAAGTGAGTGAGCAGCTGCCTGGGGCTTGGTTGCTGGATGGGGGTAAACAACCACAAATTTCAAACCTAATCAGCAGGAAAGGAGACCTTATCAGTGAAACAGGCGGCTTATATATACATATATATATATATATATATATATATATATATATATATATATATATATATTTTTATATATATATATATATATATATACACAAAAGAGTGTCTTGCTTTTAACTATCAGGATTTTCTTGCTGTGAACATGGCATTCAGGAAATAATGAGTCCTGTCCACTTCAGAACCTGGGTCAGTTTTGCAGCTTGCAAATTTCCACCCCCTAGAACAGTATTTCTTCCCTTTCTATTAACAATAGCTTTTCTACCAGCATGAAAATACTGGTGGGGGGGTGCTATCCTCTAAGACATGCTAAAAATAAAAAGTCTGCTTGGCTTAATTTTTCACAATTTTATTGATCTTCATAAGCAGGCACAGAAGAGTGTAAAAAGATAAATAACCTCTGGTTTGTACACATTCCCACATGTTGTCATCTTCCCTGTCTCTCCCAGAGATCCTTTCAATTCTAGACAGCAGGACAGGGATCTGGCCTGTTGATCTGGTTCCAGCTCACACCTGGGGGAGGATTTGGCTGTGGTCACTGAAGCTGCTTGGCTGGAAGTTCAACACCCTCAGCTTTCCCATCTGAAACTGCCAGGAGAGGTACAAGGGAGCAGGTGGGTATCCTGGTGACACTGAGGGAGGCTGTATGCATAAGGACAAGAGGGAAGCACTAAAAAAGCAAAACAGGTGATTCATGGGGAGAATTTGGTTCTTTGAACAGATACTGGGCCTATCCAAGTACATCTGGAAGTCCAAATAGTTTTTTTCCAAGTGTGTTCCATTTGTGTAAAACCACATCTGAATGGCCCTGCCACTCAATAGCAAATGTTTTGTTGGGCAAGTAAATATTCCAGAGTACAACTTTCCACTGAAAATTGACAACAAAAGAAAACATTTTAATTCTCTCATCCAACTGTCTGGGGTTTTTTTTCACCCATAACTGCAGTTACAGATCCATCACACAAAATCTCTCATGCCAGCCTCTGTAATGTCCATGCACTCTGAAGTCAATTTTACACTTTATCAGATATAACTTTGATGCCACAGAGTTCTTCATCATCGTATAATACCTTTTACCTTATTGCTACTCCAGAAAGACTGACAAGACTTAGCAGTATATCAATAGAGAAGGGACAAAGCCCTATTGAGCTGCTTGAAAAATCACTATTTTCTTTTTTTCATTTAAAAAGATATTTAGCTCCCTTCAAATCATCGTCAGCCTATGAAAAAAGCACAAAAGAAATCAAAACCTCAACCCCACAACCAAACATAAGTAAGACGGTGATACAGAAACAAAAGCCTGAAATTAAAAACATTATTTATGGGGAAAAATACTGGCCACTGTTCTCCTATCTATCCCCAGATCAATTCTGGGAATAGAAGAAGCTGAGAGAGTGCTATGACTTAAGGGAGTGTGAGGTTTGGTGAAGAATGGCTGGGCTGTCAAGGAGGGCAGCTGATTGCTGCGTGAAGGCAGCAGCAGGAAAGCTCTGCAGTCAGAATATTTGACAGAAGCACCTGCCAGGTGGATCCCAGCGCTGCTGAAGGACAGTGCAGAGGCTGACCAAGGCACTAGAGCCATGACTGCAGCTGAAAGGGTGGTTTGCTGGCCTGGAGACTGGCTCCTGTTCCTCTTGGCCTTGAAAGAAGGGCTTAACACGTTAATGGAATGTTCAGGTCTGAGACTCTGTCCAGACAGGTGAAATAATGCATACGTGTCAAATCAGTACAGACTGTCGCTGTCTGAGACCAACAGTATGTGGGGTATGCAGGTCAGGGTTTCAGTATGAAAAACTACAAAAAGCATTTCTGTGAAAGTTAGAAAAGAATACTGAAAATTCCAGTGTCTTCTGAAGGCAACCATGATATATTTAAATTTAGGTTCAGTTACTAAAGTGAGAAAGCATTTTGTTCCACCTCTAAAGCAAGTCTTATGTACCAGACCAGAGGCATTTTGGGGTCTCTATGGTACCAAAAAGATATAGCTCTGTTTAAGACAGGTTCAAAAATCCTGAGAGGTGTTGACAGTTTATTACACTTTCTTGTGATGGGGATCAATCCATTTGGAACAGCAATAAAAACAATTCTATCGCAGCTCTTCCTTTCACTTCTTGTCATTATCCAGTACTTGTTCCAGCTTCAGAAATTAGATTACTTCAGGGCTTTTAGTGTCAGCACTGCATACAAGGACAGCTACCATGTTCCCACCTCCCACAGTTGCTATTGGCTTGTTTAATTTTACCTTAAACTTCTGCCACTGTGATCAAATCCTTCACTACTTGAGCTCACCAGTTAGCACAGAGTTAATGAACCAAAAAAAAAAAAAAAAAAAAAAAAAATATACACACCTGGCAGGAAAAGTAATCCCTTAGAAAGCAAAGTGACATATATGCCCATGTTTTCTCTGCTGCACACTGGACAAATTAAGTTTACAGAAACAATTACCAAAATATTTCAAAACCACTCCAATTCACCGTATCACAGATTCCTTTGTGCCCCTTCTCTATTTATGCTTCTGGTCCAGAAGTCATTTTTTCTGTCTTTATTTTTGAAAAATGGGGGGCAAAATAAAGTTCTGTTTAGTAGCACTGTAACATTTTTGGTTTGTCTCCAGCCAAGTTCATTCATTCTGGAATAAACACGTGTTCCACGCGAGGGACGTTCTTCTGCTGATGCGACACAACGCACAAGTAGACGAGGAAGAGGAGGCACAGCAGTGCCGTGGCTGTGAGGAAGACAAGGAGCCCAGCAAAGAGAGAAGGTTTTAGAGGTAGCTGGATCAGCTTCCCTTCTGCTGGAATCATGTTGGTGAGGCTTAACATGTAACCGAGTGACCACCCTATGCTGCTGTTACCAACCTGAAATGAAGACAGAAGATTCCTATTCCCATGGAATTTTTCACTCAAAGACTCCAAGAGCTCAACTGCTGTTAATGGCAACTGTCCTTTAAATTAGCAAGGAGAAATCTTTAGTGGAATATGCAAAGAAGATACAGAGCCATTTTAAATTACCCTTTTTCTGTAGTTCCAGAGGATGGTAATAAAATTGTTCACTGGGCTAAAAAAGCGAGACACAGGTCTTGGAGGGGTACAGAGATGTGTGGTGTATATGCAGGCAGCCAGTTATGCAATTTTAAACAAACAAATAGAAAACCCCATGACTACTATGCCAATTCCTAAAATTAGCCCCTCACCTTAGCCAAATCCCATGATGTCATTTGAGTTCAAGCAAACAAAAAAACCCCACAAGGAGTCTCACCAACATGGACAAAGAGGAACTGAGGATAAAGTCCCCAAAACAGGAACTCTATTTATCGTCTTTTGTTCCATGTTTGGTTTTGTGCCTGCAAATGAACCAAAACTAGGCTCTTCCGTTTTAAAAATAAACATAAATTAAAAACTACTTCAAAATGGATGAAATAACAGCCAAGGGAGTATGTTTGTATCTGCTCCATGGTCCTCCTGCTTTGCTGTCTTTCTCCACTTCTAGTTTTAGCAACAGAGCTTACCAGTTTTCCACTGTCCTTTTCATTAAGTCATTGTCCTGCCACTTGATAAACAAAGGATCAAAAGGTAAAGTGTCCTCTGTCTTCCTCTCATCATGAGGTTTAAAACTTATAATTTTTGCAAATCATGTAGCTCTGGATCTCACCCAGATCTTAGCATTAGGCCAAGGTTCTTTTCATTGGTTGTGTTCACTAATTAAAAGGAAATATATACTCCTAGCATAGACAAAAAACCCACCCTCCAGTCATAGTAAGATTGTGCTGTTATCTCTAGGGTAGCTTAGCTGATCAGCCAACATTAGATCTTACTGTTTTAGTAGGGGCAGATCTAATAAAGAGAATGTAGTTTTGCCTTTTGGAGTTTCATAATTACCCTAGTGTAAAATCTAGGCAACAAAGGTATTAATTTTAAATAAGCCTTTTGGGGTTTTGTTTTTCTCAGTATTTTTATAGTCTTGGCTAAATAGAAAGAAAAAAAAACAAAACAAGAAAATGTTGTTTTTTCTGGCTGCTCCTATCTGCTAGGGACAATACAATATATATTTAAATATCAAGACAAATCCACACCCACCCCCTGCCCAGTGGAGATTAAGATCTCAAAGTACTCTATGCTGTTTTCCTGGTGGAACAGCTCAACTTTGGACACTCCTCCAGAGCTGCTAATGACTGTCCACCAGAGGACAAAATAAGGCAAGAAAATGCTACTTGATTCCTTAGTGCACGAGGAATAGATATGACTGTTCAGAAAAACATTGCTTTTGATTACTCATTCACAGCTTGCCAGCATCTCCTGCATCTAAGGGGATTTAAGCATACAACATGAAGATCTACAGCCTATTCTTTTGTTGGCTTTGCAAGCAAGTGCTGAAGCATTTCCAAACTATATGGACATTAGGAGACAGTCTGGCATAGGATTTTAGAGTAAGGCTTTGTGCAGCAGCAGAGAGGAAAATAAAGGCATTTATGACACAGATATTGTAACTCTTCTCTCTCTGTCAACTGAAAGGCAGTACCCCATCAAAATACATTCTTATTCCAGAGAGCCAGATTATGGCACAGATGGATGAGCTGGGTGAGGATGAAAACTGTCTTTGTTGCTTCATCACCACTCACTGACTCCAAGCCTCTTTGCCAGTTCCTCCAGGGCTCTGCCAGGAGACTGCAAAGCACAGTTCTGCTCTCCAGCTCAGCAGGGTTGGCTCAAACTGACCTTGACTGGTGAGGTGTTTTAGGCAGATTACTGCCTGGAGCAAAATACTGTGGAAATGTTTAAAACACAAGTGTTTGATCTTCACTTTAAGCTCTTTAAAAGAATCTATGTAGTATCTCCAAGTAACGCTGAGACCCCTGAAAACAGGCTGAGATTGCTCCTGAGGTTTGAAAAGTGCTTTGTCTTATGCCAAACATTTGAAAGTCATTTACCAAGGCTGTTTACAACCATTCTGTTTTTGCAGGCTGCTGCATCCTCTGTCTCCTCCTCAAACTCATTGGATTAAAATGACAGTAATAGAAAATTATTATTCCTCACCTCCTTTTGAAAATGTATCTGTGGCCAAGTTTCTGCATTGAAGTTGTAACCATGTACAAGCAAGTAATAAATGAAATTGGCTGAGAAACAGTAGGATCTAGCATATATTTCTTCAAATTTAGGCAGCATAAACTGGAGCTGAAAGCAAAAGGGTTTTTTTAAAAAACATGTTAATATGGAAAAAGCAAATGCTTTGGGTTTTGTAACTAGAAAATATTTGGGTTCTAATTAGAAGCTAATAACATTTTTCAGAAATACCAAGTAAAGATGTAGACAACTAGATACAGAGATTCAGAAAGACTCTAAAAGTGACATAGCTTATGTAGTAAACAATGAAAATAAACATCAAACTGTACATTGAAGATTGAGGATGTTATGGTTTCTAAAATGTCCATGTCATCTCTACAGTGTGGTTAGAACTTGAAATGAAATTTTGAAACCTTTTCCAAGTGTTAAGCATGACAGAAATACTACATGGTTTGAAGCACAGTGGAAAAACAAATGCTGGATTGATACACACCTTCTGAAAGGTTCTGAACACATAGCTGGTCCATATTATTTTTATATCCCTCTTTTAGGAGTTTAAAATGGAAAAGAAAAATCCCAACAACACCAAAAACAAACCAACTAACCAACCAACCAACCCACTTACCTGTGCCCAGCTCTGTGAACAGAAAAACCACATACTTGAATTGAAGTCATCTAGGGAAAATTGCCCAGATAAATTCAAAGCATGAATTGTATAGTAGAATCCAGAGAAAGCCTATAGAAAAGGAGTGGATGACAGGTTATTTTCAGAACTACAGAAATCAAGAGCAAGGAATCTCAGAAAGAAGGACACTATTTGCACACCTACCACAAAATTCCCTTTAACTTTTGGCTGATGTATTCCATTAAATGGACAGTCCTCTCTGTCTCTGCAAGCAGTGAGGTTAAACAATAAAGAAACCATCTCCTGGCACAGACCTGGGTCTCCTGTTCCATGGAAATTCACAGGCTGGTTTGGGTAGTAATTTGCTGGTCTCAGAGACTGTGTACAAAGGCTGCCAAAGAAGTCCTTCATGGTTAATGCTGTGTTATAGTTTTGAGGGTAACAGGGATTATCCACATTGGCACTGGTCTTTGATTTCTGGGGGGGAAAAGAATCAAACAAAAACAAACAAGAAAACCCAAACAATAAATACTAGTCAAAAGCAAGAAAGGCCTAATTTGGCATGAGCTACAGGAATCTTTTTGAACTGCAGATACATGTATTTTTCTTCACTGACATGACTGGTCAGCACAACACTGCTGATCAGTATAATTCATAGAAACTCTTTTCTCCAGAAGTCATTTGCAAGATCAGCAAAATATTTACAAGGCCTTTTGGTCAAATGGCACAGAACTCTTGCTAATTTCTAACAAATATGAAGTTCTTTGTATGAAACCTAAGTGTGTTTGGCCACAACAAAGCACAGCTGAGCTCTTACTGGGGTCTCCAGACTCCAGCAAAGGGAAGAGAACACAAGCCTAAGATGCTGCCCAGACAATCACTGAACACTTGCAAGAGCAATATAGCAAAGGGTCTTAAACAGACCTGGAGCAGCAATGCTAAAAGCCTTTTCTCAGCTTCATCTCTCCCATAGCACTGGTAGCTGTGAGTGTAGACATTGTAGTTGTAACCATACAACTTCACTTGCAAGGTGCTGTTGAGATGCTCCTCGGGGTCCTTGGGGATAAATGAAATTTGAGTGGAAGCTCCTCCAAGGTCCAGTGCACCCATGGTGTCTTTTCTGTAAGGATGGACCCATGTCCTCCAAAGGTTTCTCTACATGCAAAATTAAAAACAAGGCAAATTAGAAATATCATCTACTTGTTCTCTACTACCCAAAATATTCCCCAAATTCTGTATTTGATCTACATAGTCACAGTGCCAAATATAGATTTTCCATGATTATCTATTTCAATATTTACCCAATGAGCATGATGAGATGAATGCATACACAAGAAGGGAAACTATGGAATTTATGGGCTAGCAAATACACTCACAATAAAATTCTACAGTGAAAAATTCCCATAAAGAACCCCTCACTGAATTTGACTCTCAGCCTGTTGTCACAAGAAAGGTCAGAATTTCTCTCTTCTACTAGTGATATTCCACATATATTTCTTCACAGAACTCTCTAGACTAAAATGGTTTCACAGCATCTAGCAGTCCATTTTTATGAACTTGCCATATGGAATTTGATATTTGGATGATTAAAATTCATGTGGTAGATGACTGACACTGCCTTGAACTTCATCATGTCATTTTTGTGGCATGAAATGCACACAACAAGAAAAATTCCTACAGAATGTGTGATTCCAAAACTTGTTTTCTTAACGTTGCAAGTCACAAGCACATTCACCATGAGCTATCACAGCACCAACAAGTAATTCCTTCTTATTTAATGGCCATGATCTGATAGGAACCATTCAGTCAGGACAGCTAGCAGTACCCAGAAGTACTGGTTTCAATTAAATGAAATTAATTTCATTTCTGGTAAGACAATCTGGCAGAAGTGCTGTCAATGCTGAGGGCAGCACCCTCCTGCCACAAATGCAGATGAGTGATTGCAGATCATCTTGGTACAGCTTTTACTCTGAATGAAATCACACTGAATACCTGCACCTAAAAAGGGATCTTCCAACACATCTGACTCCCTCTCTGCTCTGAGGCTCCTGCCTGGTCTTATGCCAAGTTCAAGAACAGCATGAGTGTGTTTATATTGGTATCACTTGGTCTGCACAGGACAGTGTGTTGCAGTCTACTGCTCATAGCCTGCAGCATGTCAGCAGTCTTGGAAGGAGCTGTGTATGAATGATTTCTGGCTCAGCTGAGGCATATTTGACCACCTTCAGTGCTTCAAACAGTCTTGTCTGCTTATGACAAGTAAGCCAACACTGCCAAACAATTTGGAGACCCCTAAGCCAGGCAGGTCCTTCACCAGCAGGGACAGCAAATAAGCAGAAGAAAAGATCTTCAGTTGGCACCACTGTCAAGACAATCAACACCTGTCACACTAAACATACCAATGCATCCAAGAGTGATCTCACCTTTTGGTTTTAGGTAAGACACTCAATGTCATTTAGAGGAGAGCTTTTTTGTGGATCAATGATTTTACCTTTGCCATATCCCATTCCCATAACAACATATTCTTTATGATTTATGTTTGCCCTATGACTGCCACAAAAGGACCCTGTTAGAGACTTAGGGAAAAACAGAAGTTGCAACTATGACATTTTAACAGGCATGTCCTCTCAAACTTCTCATTTATAAGAGAGAAACAGTGAAAAGAAAAGCATGCAGTTTTTTCCACACACCTCTAAGAAATTGCCCATTAAATAGTTGGCCGTTATCCATCCATACACCCCTTCCTCTGGCCCAGTTATGATCTGCGCACCCCTAAATTCAAAAGGTTGAGCTCTGAAGTAGCTTTGAATGCTTGCAAGGACTTCATTGGCTGCCGATTCATTTTGCAACCTAAGCAATTCACAAAACATGAGACACTGAGCATCTGGAAAGGCAATTTCATGTTTATTGTTCACTGACTAGCAATTCAAGAAAACTCCTACAATCACATAATAAATGAAATAGACATTATGTCCCTAAAGGGGAAGCTTAGGAGAGGGAACAGCCAGTATCCAGCATTGTTTCAGCAAGCAACTCCCTCAGTATGTACCAAGTCCACTCTTTATCATGCAAGTTCATGGGTGGGTTTTTTTCTCTTCATATATTCTTTATTCTTTGTGAACTGAGTATTTATATGACAGCTTCTGGTTAAAACAGTCCTGGAATCTCTCTTCCAGCTCTGTTTAGCCAGAGAACAAATATAATAAAGCCAGTTTGTGCCAGGGCTAAAGCTACAGACAGACCCCAAAAGCCATATCACTTCAGATCACATCCATACTCAGAATGCAGTGCCTAGCTTCCATCTGCCTTTGCTGCCCATGGATGTGCACAAACATTATCTGTTTACATAACACTGTATTTTATGACAGATGTGAAAGAGAAAATTAAACTCTTGCCTTCTCCAAAATAAAGCAAGTTTCTTTTCAGTACAGCATAACAGAGCGGTTTTATGCAGACACGCTTTCCCTCTCAGGAAAGTTTATTAAATTAAATTGGCTGGGCTCCATTTCCTTTTGAGATGGCCAATTTCCAGTGGGTAAAAATGCATCCAGTACATTTTTCATGTTCTGTTTTCACAGACTGCTCTGCTAGTATGCATACAGAGTAGTTCAAGTTTCTGCCATACCTCAGCAGTCTCATGCCAGCTGTAGCCCCCAGATAAACAGAAGTGTTTTTATGCAGATGAACTGGTATTCTCTCCTTCACTTTATTCAGACAGTCATCAAGAGGCTTGGCAAGAGCTCCAGGGCTACTCCCATAGCTGGATATACCAGGGCCTAAAAGAGAACAAGGAGATAGATTTCATCCTGCTTTGCCAACTACAAATTAGCCCAATTAGTTAACGGGTGTTAAGAGAAAGACACTTCCCCCCCACCATAACTGCAAACAAGGGTAGGATGGCTGAAAATTAGGAGTGCTTATGGAATGAACAATGTGGTGCCTGTGCATTTCAAGATGCACAGAAATGGCTCTTGAATTCATAGAGGTACAAGTCTGCTGTGGTGCATGAACTAGTGAACAGCTTTCCAAATTTCCAAAGCCTTCAAAGAGCAGGAATGAGAGCCACATCATGCTGCACAAGGCATAGCTATTTGAACTATTAACATCAAAGTCCTGCCTTGCTCAACACTCCAAGGACCATCAGGATCTTGACTTGTTCAGGCTCAAATTGGGTGTAAATAAAACATTCCTTACTGAAATTCCTTAGCTGAGGAAGTTCCATGGAGAACAAGTGCCAGAACTCCATCTGCCTCTGTAACAGCCATGTCTTGCACAACCTGGTCCCAAGCTAAGCAAAAGGTGGCTCTTAGCCACCTTTCTTAATTCTTAATTTAATTTCTTAGTTGAAAAGAGAAACCATTTATGTTCAGTCACATTGCATTGACAGAAACAGAAGAAAAAAAATATGTAAGCCTTTACAGATTCCACACTCCAAAGCTCCTGTTTTGACTGTGTGAATTTCAACATAAACACTACCATGTCACCATTAGATGTTCACAGCCCTGGTTTTGAAATAAGACTTTCTGAAAGTCTTAAGTCTGGCACAAACAGACCTGAAACTGGAAGGAACGCTACTCCCAGAGGAAAACAGAGCAGCAACATCCTCAGCAGCTGCCATTGCCTCATGCTCCTTTGGTGGCTGCAAATTCCCTTTTTCCAGTGTTCAGACAGAGCAGGTCACAAGGCAATGACCATGTTCTTCTGGACAACTGCCTGCTTTGCCAATGCTTAGAGCCTTATCAGGACAGATTAACTGCACTATAGAGTAGGGATTTTGATTTGGGGCTGGTTCCTATACACAAAGGCAGAGGTACTTAATAAAGGCAGAAATGATGTCATAAAACCACCACAAAACTCACACAGCAGTTGTTGACTTGACCTTCAAGTTCAGTAGGTGTGTGAAAATCTGCTTTTTATTATGCCCAGAGCTATCCCCCTGTTTAAGTGCTTAAGACTGTGGTTGGAGGGTCACTAAAGAAACACTGACAGAGGTGTTCACCACTGTCACCCACAGCTCAGCTGGGGACATCTCCCAGGAACCAGCCCTCTGTCTCCTCCAGTGCAGAGTTATCCAAGACTAGAAGACTGAGCCCTGGTGATTCTGTACGCTCAGGGATGTGGGAGTACTTGGCTGCTCATGGCTAAGGCCATGAACCTAGAGAGTTCACAGCAACTTGGACTCCTCTGTTTTGTAATTTACTTGTATTCCCCAAAGGTAAAGCAAAATCTAAACCAATTCAAGAAAATTCACGAGGCACTGCTGTTTTGTTTTGGGTTTTTTGAGAAGAATAATGCAGTTTCTCTATGCATTTTTCCCAAACCAGAATTCCTAAAGGCAAACATTCCTAATGAGTCAAGACATGAGTTAGCAGAGTGTACCCCTCCCCTCAGCAGGGTGGCCACCATTCCAGCAGTTTGTAAGGACATTTCATCATTAGAGACATGACAGTGCATTACTCCTGTTCATGTTACACTTGCTTTCCTTTCCTTGCTCTAGAATTGCTGAAAATGTCCACACACATATTTAACAATGAAGATAAAAATGCTGGTGCTGCTAAGAAACCATTGCCTTCCATTCCCTGTTACTCATGGGCCTCTGTGGCTACATCTCCAGCATCTATTTCCAGACACAAAGAGGGATGTAAGACTTTGCAAGATCATGACTGAGACAGAAGGAAAATACTGAAAATACTTTCTTTGAACACTGCAGTTATTATCAAAGAACAGAAAACCTGATTTCCCTCCCCTCCCTGGCCATCTGTCTTCACAAAATGTGTGGCATTTCCATAACTTTGAAAGCTGGGTCAGATGTCACTGAAGTTGACTAAGAGTTTCTATGAAGGAATCCACAACCACCTAACCATACTGGAGTGTGATCAGAAGTCAGCCTAGTCCGTCTGTCTGTCTGTGAGGAATCAATTCAAAACCTCAGAAAAAAGACAGGGCAGGTAGCCAGTGGTACCTGTGGGACATCTTTAGCTGTGCACAGACACAGGTCTTCCTGAGACAGAGGCCACAGCTACATATTTAATAAAACAATGACGTCCTGTCAGAAATAGTTCTGCCAATTTAGCTATTTTACTCAGTATTACTCAATTTACTACTAGTTCTGTAATGTGGAGAAGCTTAATTAAAATAACGCCTAACAAGAGCTAGATTCCCATTCCTCTAAAACTCCTTTTATTCCAAGCTATTTTTAAATATATATAATACTTTTATTCTGAAAGAAACGCAAGGACTGAACATTTATGGGTCCTGACTGTCTTTAGATTGAATCCTGTCTGCATCAATCATGCACTGCCATGAGTAAATCAAATTTTGCCACAATTTCCTTTCTCTGGTGCAATGATTAGAGCAGCTTATTGTATCAGTGGAAAAGAACTAATGCTGACAGATACAGACATAGTCTTGATGGGAAGGGAAGGGAATGGAAGGGAAGGGAAATAAACAGTACAAGCAAGGCTAAAAACAAGTAAGGAACTTTCCTTTGAGCTCACCTTTCACATTGCACTTGAAGGTTTGGCTCACTACTCCTGTGTTGTTTTCTTTTTCTGCCGGCCACTCATAGACATAGACTGTAGTCCGAGAGGATCCAGCATCAAGGACTATTCCATACTGGGGATTAAGAAAGAATACATTAGATGAAGAAACAAACAATGACAGCTTAAATGCCCATGTGCAGCTGCACTGCACCAGCAGACATTTAGAAAATGCATGCACAGTGTATTATTTACAAGAGAGATTAATTTGAGTGTCAGGCGCTTAGGCATGAATCCAACAGCCAAGCACAGAATGAACCTGGCTGCAAACCAAGGAACATGATACATATCTTCAATAATTAATTCAGTGGGGATGGAGAATGCTCATCTCCTTTCAGCATCAGGTTCAAAACCCACACTGACATATAGATAACACTGTGTAAAGGCCTGATTTTGGAGCAGGTTCATTTCCCTTTATCCCAGTCCATTCCCTGAACACAGAAGGGTTTGATATCTAAGCACAGGTTTTAGATTCAAGGATGCACAAGGGATCCATAAAGCTATGAGCAAAGAGGTAAAGTATCTGAGAGCTGACAGTAAGAATGATGTAACAAGTCTGGTTCTTTCCTAATTGCCCCATAAACCTCTCCCTTGGAGTGGTTTACTCCACCTGAGAGTTCACCTCTGAGAACAGGCTGTGCCAGAGTATGAGACAACACAGAGGGAAAGAGAATCAATGTTACCCCATGAGTATTTATAAAATAAACGAGAGATATTTAAATTACTTGCCCCAGGTCCCCTGGACTCTGGGATTAAAGCACAGGTTTCTCCATCCCGCCCCACAGCTCACCAGACCAGTCTTTCCCTTTTTCCCATATTTTATGGCAGGAGAAAACTGAAGTAACTGGAAAGGCAATCTCATAAAGGGAAGCAAAATGCAATTTTGGTATCCTCTTTATGATCCCTGCAAGTGTTTAGCTCTTCCAAAGTCACCCAACTGGTAGGAGTCACACAGTATAGGGTTCATTTTTCTGACAGTTTTTTTCTTTTGGAGCAGACAGATGCCTAGGAGCCTGACAGTACTGAAAAATGAGAGCCTCCATCTGTCTGCAAAGCAGTAAGAGCCCCTGTAGCAGGCTGATAAATTCCATCCCACTGCCTCCCTGGGGGACCAAAAAGTCCAACTGGGAAGGATCACTGCTTCAGGTGGCAAACCATTTGGCTTCCACACCTGATTATTCCCAGCTTCTACTGTAATCCTAAAAACTCCTGGCCCCCAAAGAATACCAGCAATACCAGTCTAGTCTGTTTCCACAGAGGACTGTTAGATAATGAAAATTTCATTTATAGTCATGGAGACCATATTTACCCTGATCCACTAAAAGATTAAAAGCCTCCACAGATACTACCAAACTACACAGATACTCCTCCACAGATACTATCAAACTACATCATTAGGTTCTGTTTCAGTAACTACTTTAGCAAAAATAATTTGAGTTTATTTCCTCTCCTTGGAAGATGTGAGCACCCTGGAGGTACATAACACAGTAATGGTCAATCTGCTTAAGGACTACTAATTAAATCTAGTCTCAGTCAGCTTAAAGTACCAAACATAAGCTTTTAACTTGGCTACTTTTAGAGCTAACTATGCCCAAGGAGAGCTGGAAGATAATGGAAGCATTTTTACCTCAGTTAAGTGGGGGCTTTTTGAGCTACTTCCTCCTTCCCCTGCATTTCCCAGGCTCCTTCTGGAAGTAAGAGATTTCCATCCCAAAGAGTAGTGGTGTACTTATCTGAATCAATGTGTGACTGACAATTTTTTTTAATTTTCTTTCTCCCTTTCCTCCTCTATGTTTCTTACACATCCTTAAAAGAGATGCTGATTTTTGAAAAGGTCTCTTGGGCCCATTTCAAGGTGACCTGTGAAGCTCCTCAGGACTTGTGTGAGTTCCCTGTGTGCAAACCGGCCCAAGCAGCCTCAAAAAGTAGTGACCAGTGACAACTGCACCACATGTTAGGACAAAGATTTATCTTTAATTAAAAAAACAGAAATGACACAGGACACTGCATCTTAGGAAGGTGAGAGAATTCTACAAGCCTTGTCTTAGCAGGCTGCCAAAGACAAACTGGTTGGATTAAAATTTTCTGGGGACGTTAGATTTCTGTCCAAGTTCCATGCTGGATCACCTTTGTCTGCCCTTTAAGGGCAAGCAAGGCCTTCCTGCTTTGAAATGCACTGTGAGAACGTTGGCAAACCCTTATCCCAGGCTAGCAGCTATTAAAGAACAGAACTACTTTTTCTCCATGATTTCCTTTCTCCTTCAACTGTCTTCCTGAGTATTTCCATCATCTCAAAGGCCTGGTGATTCCATGATATCCAAGAACTGCACCATCTACTCAATGGACCAGATTAGTCAGACAAGACAGGGAGACAACATTAACCCAGAAAAGTTTCAGAGTTCTGTTTTCTAGTCCAGAGGAAAAAAGAAAGAAGAAAGGGGAGAAACAAGGTGACATGAAGGAAAATGTTATTATGGGAATATGGCTTTGTAGGTACATCCTGAGGAGTAGTAATCCCAATAGATAAGCAAGCACAAGCCCCAGGATCAATCACCTTTTCAGCCTATCATTCCAATAGGAAGACACAGAGATGCACAAACCCTTAAAGCAGGCACAGTTATGATGGATCACCTGCCTTCCAATCACTTTGGAAACTGCCAAACAATTTGGAGAGAAGCTGACAAGCTAAACCAGTTGCAGGGAAGATGGAGGTCACAAAAGTGGATCTCTGCTAGATGTATGATTCAATTCAGCTGCATGGGTTTGAACAATTTTTAATCAAATCCAACAGCCACAAACAATGCAAAACACTTCCTAGGAGCCAAAAGAGACATGAAAAATTTAGGTATTAAAAATCGAATTGTAGCACCTGTAGCATAAAGGAATACAATAATGAAGTGGTTTTTTTTTTCTCTAGGGCTCACAAAACAGCAATAGACAAACAGATTTGATTTTTTTTTTGACTGGCATAAAGGCTTATTTCATTCAGCACTATCATCATTTACAATTGCAGACTTCTCCACTGAGGACATTTGTGTTTTCTTCATCACTCTTCTCACTTCATGGTGTGTATCAGTGAGTCATGAGTCCTTCCAGTGCCCCAGCCTCATGCAATGGGCAGGCCCTTCCTTCACTAATCACTGACTCAGTCTTCAGATAATCCAGCCATCAAGGATCCAAAACATTCAATTTTGCAACAACAGTTTAAAACACCAGTGACACAGCATATAATTTATCTCTTGTGCCACAATGGATGCTCTCAACATACATCTTGGGAAAGAGCTTTTATGCCACAGGTAACACAAACAGTAGTAACAGAAGAACAAGGCCGTTTACAAAAAATAAATCCGCTTTCATCATGTTGTTGCCATAATTAATTTTAATCAACCATTAAGTTCAGGACACTAAGTCAAGTCATTTCCAGGCTCCATGTCAGCCAGGTATGGCTTACTAAGGCCTCCTTACTGGCTTACCAAGGTCCTCCTTCTACCTGTGAATTTCTTGTGAATATAAATTACTCACTGAGGACAACTCAGTGTCTCAGGAATCAAACTCAGGGTCCTCCATATCACCTGCATTAGCAGGCTTACAGCCCAAACTCAAATCCAAAGCCAAGGCACACCCAGTAGAGGAAACAGCAGCCCTCCTACAGAAGCTGCTGTGAAGCTGCTGTGATTCAGCAAAGCTCCCCACTTAAACCAGCTCCAGAGAGTCCAGGTGGTTTCAATGATTCCTCAAAGAGGAAGGTAAACAGTTTTATCATTTTGGATGTGAAACTGAATTAATGACAAACACAAAAGATGTGTAGGCTGTCTTTTAGATAATGGCTTCAGCCTTGCCCTGGCTTCAGCTGGGATACATGTCCATCCAGTCCTGCCTTGCACGAAAATTGGGATGTGAGGCTGCTGCAAGCATTGTTAGCATGACAATACAGACACGGCCCTTCCAGCCATTTGGGGCTCAACAGAGCACATGCTTGAGGCACTGTGGCCCCATGCACAAGGCCAGCACACTCTCCCTGTCACATCACACAAACACATAGAAGGGGTATCAGAATTACAGTTTTATCCCGTTGTCTGACTCACACACCACCAAATGATTCAGACAAAGCCAAAGGTGTTTATAATCCCATGAAGTGCAACGAGGCATTAACCTGTCGTTATCAGTGTGTGAACTATCCAGTTAAATACTCATGCAGATGGAAAGGCAGAAGGGACTTCAAAGAAAAATCTGACAAGAGAATCGTGGGAAAAAACAGCACCCTACATATCCTTAGAAGGATATTTTCTACAGCTTTTCCTCGGTTGTTTACATCTCTCATTGAAGAACCTGCACACATGTTCCACAGCAGAAGGCAAAGCCTGAGCTTCAGTTTGTGTTTTGCAGTTTGCTCTGCCCCCTTAAGGAAGTTCGTTTGCTCCCGTTAGCATCCAGCAAGTCCCAACACGTGGTAAAGGATCAAGTGCATACTTGGAGCCCAAATGCTTTTGATACACAGGAGCAATTTGCAAAGATGTCAGCACAAACTTCCCAGCTGTGCTTGGGGCCAGAATTTAAACTCTGGGTATTTCCCACTTCAAAACTATTTTTAAATTACTTCCAATTTCTGACAAAACTGGAAAAAAAAAAAAAAAAAGGAGTGAGATATTCTCCCCTTTTGGCCTTTCAGTCCTGAAGAAGACATTGTGTGATAGCCACCACAGAGAAGGAATCAAGAAATACTTTTCCTGCTTTGCTACTGACCCTTGACCAATTCTCTTTTTCTCTCAGCTTCAGTTTTCCCATCATGATATGATTAAACATTAATTTATGGCTGTAAGCTCATTTGAATCACCCCATAAAATGAGTTTAGAAAGGCACATTATTAAATATCAGTTCAAAACATTGTTCTCCTTCCTGAGGTTGCCTAAGACTTACCTTAAGCCCTGGGGAGAGGATCTGCTGCTGATTTATCTGAATCACTGCAATGGCAATAACAAGGACTATGCTTAGAAGAAGGAACACTTGGGCAACAACACTCGGGGTTCTGGTGAGCATCCTGAAACGACAAAGTGGGAAGCACTTAGGGAACTTGAAAGGATTTGGCGATTCTGTCTTAAAGCCTGAAGTCCTCAATCAGATGAAACTCATAAATCTAATTTCATCAACTGGATCACCTAGTGGAAATTCCATCTCCTCCTCAAGAACTGCCTGGTGTTTTGCAACCACTATTTATTGTCTGGAAGGGCCGTGTCTGTACTGTCATGCTACCAATGCCAGATTTCACCCGGTGGTGCCTGTGTGGAGGTGCCTGCTCCCCAGCTCCCACGCCCCAGGAAGGGCAGGCTGTGGGCACACAGGTCAGGGCTAGTGCTTGCCCAACACTCCCCTGGGCTCCTGCAACACAGCCACAGTCACGGCCAGGCACACACCTGGGCCAGGCTGCTCCACTGAGTGCAGCTGGACGCTTCTGCCAGACATGCAAGGTCGGTGTCCACAAGAGGTGCAGGCTTCTTCAGCAAGAAAGAAATAAAAAATAAATTTAAAAGGAGGTTTAAAGAACATTAAAGTAGGCGTCTTTCTACTAACAGTTGATGAAATGTGTGTGTGTGTGTGTGCATATTCCTATTATTATCACTCTGCACTGCAAATAAAATATTAAATATACACTCTAACTCAGACATCTTGCAATGAAAAATTACTAAATCTAAGTAAGTCTAACACAGTTATGTTGGACAAACCCCAAGGTGGCATGGAACATGCTAACTAACAATAAGGCTATTTATATCTTCATATCCTTTAGAAAGGTTTCCTAGATTTCAAATATGATTTAGGTTTCCTGGAACTTCCGCTCATCCTTTTCCATGTCCCGGACCAGACATGTCTTAACCCCAAGAGATCATCCAGTATCTCTGAATACTGACAATCCACATATCAAAATCCTTATGCTCCCCAGGGGTTGAGGAGGAGAGAGGCAACTGCAGGGACATGGCAAGCTTGTAAGTGTCAGAGGAGCACAACAAGGAGAACTTTCCTGCCTTTGTTATTCCAGAAACCATTGATTTTGGCACAGAAAAATCAAGCCTGGTGTGATCTATCCTGAGTCACATCTCCTACTTCTTCCATACCAATTGTTGAACATACCAGTACCTGCTCAGGACTGTCCTGCTATTTCAGCAATCACCAGTGCCAACTTGAGCTGAGGACAGGAGCTTAAAGGTGCTCTCCAGTCCATGGCCAAAGCACTCTGGGTCAGCCCCATTGTAGCTGCAACACATGGTCTTGTCCCTAGCTCCAACCAGAGCCCTAGGGATGAGGGAGAAGGCAGAATGAATGCTTCTCACACAGCTTCCCTTTTCTAACCCCATGGGCTCTCCAGCCTGGATACCCATGGTCCAACATCTGTATTCATATTCAAAAGAGAAGAAAGAAATTTGTTTTGTTCTGGGATTAGCTTCACACTGAGCTTTGCCTATGGCTACTCCTTTCCTTCTTTTTCTTGCTCTTTCTGTTGTGAAAACTATCTCAGATTGGCTTTTGGAAAATCTTTTGACATATCTTACTTCCAAAGCATCATTTTTTACATTCATTAACTCCCTTTTCTAAATCCATATGGGCTCCTTGTTTACTGCCTATCTACTCTTCCAATACTTTCTTTCTTAGCTTGGTAATAGCTTTATTATCTTAATCATCAGTCAGTTTAAAGAGAAAATAACCAGCCACATTGGTGATCTATTTACTTCTCTCCATTGCTTCACCATCCTGAGGCACTGAAACATCAGGTACACAGTGCAGAAATGATAAAATGAAATCTTTATTTTACCATTACAAAATATGTTAACACCTATACTGTAACCTGCAGGACATACTAATAAGAAGTATTTTAATGTCAGGACATACTAATTAGAAGTATTTATACAGATCAATTCCTTTTTGAAAGGAGAGAATGGATTCTTAACTACACATTTATGAATAACCATCTGGATAAAATACTTTAAGGAGACAAAAAGTCATTAGCTTTCATTTGTACATGGATATCTCTATATAATATTATAAAGTGACTGAAAGAGAGCTATCTGCTCACAACCCAATATATATCAGTCGCTCCTGGATCAAAGCACTGGTGTTCAGTGCTGGAAAAAACCAAGTCATCATCAAAGAAAAAACGTGCAGGGCAAATGACTCTTTGGAAAACCAAAGCATTACTAAAAAACAAAGCAATAATGACTATTTGATTCCTAACACTTAAGTCTTGAATGATTAAATATTTTCTGCTCCCATTTCTGGGAGAAAAAGGGAAATCTTGGTTTGTTGAATTTCCCATGTGCTTCCCTGCTACTGAGATTTCTCTTCATCGGAGGTGATTTTTCTCTTTTCAAAACTCTTTTTTGAGAGGGAGCATGTAAGGTAAGGGCAGATCACTGGAGACATTCCTCATACAATCATGTTCCATCAGCAATCAGGGCAATTTCATCAGAGGTAATCTGCAAATCCTGATTTACACAATAGCCTCTGTATCATCATCTGTGACCCCTTGAAGTCATCACCCAGCTGGGACCTTTGCTGCCTTGCCACATAACTGCATCAGAAGCACAGGGCTGAGTTTACCTGTGGCTACACTCAGATCTAAGCCTCACACACCAGGCAATACAATCACATTTGCCCATTCAGTGAAATCTGTAGAGCTATGACAGAGGAGCTCACTCACTCCACAGATTAGAGTAAGGCAAGGAACTCTTGCTATCATTGTGCACTTGTTGGCAAAAAGACAAATAAAAGGTGTTAACTGAGTATCAAAGCCCAGTTGCCTTCCATTATTAAAACAACATCATCCTGAAGCAAGAAACAGCATAAATACATATTTTCCACACCCAGTTAATTATGCTAGGCCACACGTGAGCACACTGGAAGGATCACTTTCTTCACCTTACCTGCAAACAAAAAGCATTCCTGCCTGCAAAGGAAAACACACTCGACTTCTTTATGCCACCAACATTTTAACTAAGTTAAATTCACACCAGTAAAAATTACTGTGCTGAAATTCCTTTTCCCAAGTAACTTGAAACACCAAACCCACATCTTTTAGGCACTGACCTGTTTGTTCATAGGGTGGGTAAGCGTGTGCCTTTCTTAACGCTGTAACCTGAGAAATGCAAACACGTTACCATTTATTTCAGACGAGGTCGACAGGTGAATGCTTCAGGTGCTGTGGGGGGAAAAAAACAACAACAACAACAAATAAACAACGACAACAAAACCAATAAGAACTGAAACAAACAAAAAAACCCCCACAAAACAAATCCCATAGCACTAAAACCCCAACATCCACAGCACTTTAAACCGCATGGTGAAAACCTGCGATGAGGTTTCACACGCCTCCCTTCGGAGGAGAAATTAAGTAAAAACAAGCACATGGACACAAAATCGCGGCTGAAGCTTTCCCTCGTCTCACTGCCATCCCGGATGAGAAAGCTTCACACGATGAGCGTGATTTGCGAGAAAACACCAAACTATCCCCCCAAAATAACCTCGGAGAGGCAGAGCGACACCCCCGCCGTGTTGCCGGGGTGGCCGCCGCCCTTTTCCTCACCTAATCCCCGCCTCAGTCCGGGGATCCCGGCCCCACCACACGCCAAGGTACCTCCACAAGCCGGGCTTGCCCGCCCGCTCCCGGGATGCGGAGCGCCGGGAGCCGGCGGCGCCCTCGGAGCGCGTCTCCCGGGGGGATTTGTGGAGAGGCAGCGCGCTGGTGCCCGCCCCGTGCTCCTGTATTTCCAAAGAGATGGAAAACAAACAAACGAAAAAACAACTTGCAGGTTAAAAAGAAAGAAATAAAATGAAATGAAATCCGGATAGACTGAGTGAAGCGGAGGGAGGAGCTCTGCGGCGAGAGGAGGCAGCCGGGGCGTCCCCGCAGCGGGAGATGCGGCGGGGCTGAGCCCGGAGGGGACGCATCGGGGTTGGGAGGGCACCGAGATGCCGCCGCAGAACCCCCGTGGCACGGCCGTGCCTCCCGCCCTTCCTTGCCCTCCCCTCCTCCGGGGCTCCCCGGAAACGCCGCTCGGGATTTGGCCGCGGCTGCTGCGGCAGGGTGTTGCTGGCCGCCCCTAAATCACATTCCTCAGTTCCCTCCCAAAGCGAGGGCAGAAAGGGGTTTGTCTGGAGGTGGGTGAAAGAATCCCCGCGTCTTCTAAAAGGAACAGGTGCTTTCTCAGGAAGGCATTTCTCAGAACCCAGAAATCAGCAGTCCCTTCACTCTTAGGGCTACCTTTCCATCCAGGTTTTAGCGTACAGGCACCACTTATTTTGTAGTTTTACTGGGGTTCTTGCCAAACCTAGGCTGCTCAGTGGGCTTAGCACATTCCCAGAAGCAGCGTCACAGATCTTGCCCTGTCCAATCTGTGTGACCAACTACAGCCAAAGATCATCCTACAGCCTGCAGGGTGGGTTTGCCAGGGACACGAGCTCTGGAATCACAGCGAGACACTCCAGCTGCTCTGCCACCATTTGCTCATTGTTCTAGGATTCAGAGTCACATAATGTAAAAACCCAAATGCACCTCTGTTTCTTTTTCTCACAAAGATCTTGAAGAATTACAGCATCTTGATTTTTGGATAAAGGAGAACAAGAAACCAGCTGCAGCCTTGTGAACCATCTGTAAGCATCTTTTCATAATCTACTCATTTTGGGAGTGGAGGCAATTTTCTCTTTTTGATGACAACACATTATTAAAGCTGATTTAATGATGATCTTGGGAGATCAGTTCAGTTATTTCTAGCACATGAAGACAAAGCCTTTCATCCCTCCTGATTGCCTGACTGTTGCATGTAATTTATTTCTTTTGTATTATTTCCATTCATGTGGCATATTTTTCTTATCCCATCCAAATGTATTTCCAAGGCCCTTGGTCCAACTGACTGCATTGGTAAGTCACCTGAATCTCCTCAGGTGTCCATTAAAAATGACAAGTGAGCTGGATTGCTTACCCCACAGAAAAACATTATTTTTATACAATCAAATGTGAACATTTTGAAATAGAAAGTAAGATGTCAACCAGTCCTACAGGAGTGACTGAAATTTAATGTTTGTAAAGACAGCAAACCTCCCTTCTATATAATCTACTTCTATAAAAACAGACATACAAGATTGTTTTCTTTCTGCATCATTTCCAAGAGATGGGCAGTTGCACAAGCTGCTGTTGTGACTGTTATAGCCAGGCTAAAATCATGATGGCAGCATAAGTGATATGGGCTAAAAAATCCCCCAGCTGGTTCAAAGTCCAGGACCCTGCTCCAAAATCAGATGGACTAGAAACAAGATTCCCCTCCAGGCATGCCCAGTGGCTGTGTTTCATTGGTTCTTCTGCTTCAACCCACGGGACTCACCTTAGATCCACTACTTTAATTTCTTGTTTTCCTAAACTTTCTCCTTTGGCTTTTCTTCAGTTTCTTCATCAGCCTGGTCCACCCTTTTATGGTTCTTTTCTCCTGATCCTCCATCCCTTCCCCACTCCCAAGGCATATATTAAGCTGGGTGCCATTTCCCCAGCCTGCAGCACACACACCTCTCCTCTCCATCCTTTTCCTTGCTGCAGCACCTTTTCCTTCTCTGCCTTCAAATATCCTTGTTCAAATGCACTTAGTGTGACTAACTGTATCGATTTGTTTTGCTTGGACAGAATCTACCCCAGGTGTCCATTTAAAAATGAAAAATGAGCTGGATTGCCAACAGTCTCAAGGAAAATTTTACTGCATTTTCTGCTATTGAGCATGAATATGTGGAGTAAAAATACAATGACTGATATTGGCAGATTATTATTGAATACCAGTGTCTATAATCAATAGCAAGTCTCTAGAAACAAAAACATAATGGATACAAATAAAGTATTTGTTAGAGACACATTTCTGCAATGCATTTATGATATCATGTTTGCACAGGACCCACGGCAGATACTGCCCCATTTCCCTATGGAGTGACAGCAGCAGCATCAGGAGAGGGGATGGATGATTACACATTCCAAGACACCATGGAACTGCATCTGTTCCTTGTGTAATGCTGGAATATCAAGAGGCCTCCAAATATTCTCTGACAAGACAGCAAAGGGTGAAATGGGAAGAAATCTTTATGTAAAAAATGGAGCTAAGAAGACACAGGTGGCTGCAAGAAGAGAAGTTTGCTTTCTTGCATGGTACTTTTTCAGTTCATAGGAATAGGACCCATCCCTCATTTCTGTGCATTCTTTGCAAGATCCAGTAAACAGGGAAGCTTCTCCTCTTCATCCTATGCTTTTTACACCATTTGTGTTGCCTTTTGCACAGCCTTTTCCACCATTTGTGTTGTCAACAGGTTGGTGTGATGCCTTTCCACTCAGCTCATCACTTCCATCAATCTTCCTGGATACTTTCCTCCTGGTACTTTTCCTCAGTGTTGACAAAGAGCCTTCATTCACAATTTCTGCTCCCAAAGACTTCCTACCTCCATGTTCACCTCTTCACCTCAGGATCAACTGTGACAAATGGCAATGCAGGCAGAGCTCTAAAGAATGTGGAGCCCTCTGGGCCAGCCTGAGTCAGGACATTACAATTAGGCCTTTTTTGTGACTAACATGTTATTCCAAGGCAAAAAGCACTTCTTCTACTTGGTTCAGACAAACATTGTGCATCCAAAGCATTGCAACAAAGCTGGTGAAGGGTCTGGAGCACAGGTCCTGTGAAGAGCAGCTGAGGAAGCTGGGGTTGTTTGACCTGGAGAAAAAGAGGGTGTGACCTTATCACTCTCTAGAACTACCTGAAAGGAGGGTGTAGCCCTCCTTCTCCTTAGGAACAAGTGATAGGACAAGAGGAAATGATCTCAAGTTGTGCCCGGGCAGGTTTAGATAGGATAACTGGAAAAATTCCTTCATTGAAATGGCTGTCAAGCATTGGAACAAGCTGCACAGGGTTGAGTCACCATCCCTGGAGGTATTTACAAACCTGTATATGTGGTGCTTAGGGACATGGTTTAGTGGTGGATGTGGCAGTGCTGGGTTAACAGTAGGACCCAAAGATATTAAAGGTGTTTCCAACCTGAGTGATTCTATGATTATAGCAGCATACCGTGTGAATTGTCAAATTTAGGAAGATAGCTCTCCATGCTTTCAAGCAAGGAAGTCACAAACCACATGTGGACCCTACATTTAGAAAAATGTTAAATGCAATTCTTTTCAGAGATCATGAATGCAGTTTTTTTGTTCTATGCCTTTGCAAAACTGATTTTTAATAGTCTTAAAGCATCTGCTGCCCTAAGTTTTCTGTCATTACTGACAAACACCACCACCACATCCCCATAAAGACCCCATAAAGTAAATTCATAGCTATGGCATGAGAAATTCAGTTTGTGTAGTGCTCATACATTCTCAGAAATTGCTCATGAGATATTCTCATTGTTTTGAGTAATGGCTGGACACAGACATTGCCTTGTCTCTTTCAGTGTTTCACTTATGGCTTCTTTGAAATACCTTAGAGAGCTATTTGTTAGTTTATGCTTTTATTCCTTTACTGGAGCACTAAAGCTAATGATGCATCTCAGATTTAGTTTCTGAATCTTCTGCCTCATGCATATGACTCTGTACTGTAGGAACACTTTTCTGGTCCACATCATCTTGAAACAAATAAAAATTTCGTTCTGAGGCTGAAACAAAATATTTTCTAATTTATTTATTTCCCTTCCTGAGGGCGTATAGCTTTATACCCTTGCCTCTCTTGTCCTAAGAATCAAGAGCTGCTTCAATCAATCAAAACCCCTCAGGAACAGCCTTCATCACATGGTTATGAGCCAGCACAAGTTGTAGGCACGTAATTAGGGCAGCAGATTGCTGGGGCAGCAGAAAAAGACAGCCCCTTTGTCTATTTTGCTATGCCCGAGTTTTAGCAAGCCAAACGAGCTGCCGCGGCAGGAGAGGGTGTGTGCCAGCCCCGCTGTGCTGCTGAAAGGATTGGTGCTTTCCAGGAGTAACAGTGCCTGCTCCCATCCCTTCCCTCCCTGCCCCTCAGCTGCAAACCAAGCTCCTGGAGCTTGCCAGCAAACTCCTCCCGTTTCTATTTAGCCACTCCTCCCATTTCTTTTTAGCCATGCCTGCGAATGTATGTGTTATGTCCCAACTGATATATCCCACTGTCATAACACCAGACACAGGAATCTGACCAAAACCCACCATTCTCTTGCAAGAAATTCACTATTGGACTCAAAGACATGCACCACCTCCAGTGAATGGGCATAAATTTACAGATACTACTCCTTAGGGTTTAATCCTTTAAAAATTGCTGTGTGAAAAACTGCTCAACACAAAGATTTCTGCGCAGCTGACAACTCTAAACGAATGTTTCACTTTCCATGGCCCAGAAGTAATTGCTGACAAATTGCTGGAGAAGAGATATTTTCAAAAAGTATGAAGCAGTCCTTGTAGCAATATTTCTGTCATGTTTTTGTGCTCTTCCAGGAATGGATCAAATCAGCTGAATAATTCTAAAATTCCTACATTAAATCCTTCCCATTGCAGCTCCATACAGGTCAGGTTATCTCTTTGAGTAGATCTGTGGATGAAAAAAGTTCTATTACACCTCTTTCCAAGTTCACCTGCTAGTACTGTTATTCACTTGTTCCTTTGTTTCCCTAACTCTGAGCTAATATAACAAGCTCTTTTTTCGCTTTCCATTCACCAACATTAAACTGCAGTTGTGCAGATTTTCTTCACAGGCTCAGAAATGCAACTATAGCCATTAAAGTCAGT